TTTTTTGTAAGTTGGAGTTTGGAGAAAAACCAGAAAATATGACGGAATGTGTTGACATTGGAAACGAATCTATGTGCCAAGTTTCAACTCGATAGAGATACGGTAAGTGGGTGAAATAGCAGTACAAAGATTTTGCAAGCCAGCCGCGAACAAAAACGAAGCTAATATAAAATTATTTAATGAACGAACCCTAAAAATAAACTATTTCGTATAAAATCTTTCAATGCATTTTTTTTCCTTATTTTATAAAAATTATTCGGCCATTGCAAAGAATGGATGCCATAACGTCATTAGCGTGATAATTTAAGCTGTCGTTTAAGAGTCACTTCCATTTGTTTTTAGAGACTTAGTTTTTAATGTATTAGTATTGATATGCTTATGGCATGGGGGACGATCGGTCGACTGAAAACGCTGCGTTTAAAGCGTTCACGTTCCACTCTTCTTGGGTCTGAGCGGCTTTGCTTCCTCTTTGGGGGAAAGGTATTGCGTTACCTCCCCCACCGTCCAGGGAGTTGTCCGGTCGGGACCAAACGCATTTGCAATATTTTTTACCCACATGAAAAAAAAATTATTTTGAGAGTTGAGGCTGAAAAATTGATAGAATGTGTTGTGCCAAGTTTCAGCTCGATAAATTGTCGGGAAAGGGGTCAATGAGCCATCCTCAGATTTAACATGACAGCCACCCACCCAGCCAGTGCGCCGCGAACGAAATCGAAGTTCATATGAAGGATTCAGAAATATAAATGTTTCTGAAAACATTATGCCCAAAAAAGAATTTTTAAGAAATCACATACAATTTTACCTTGCATTTATTTAGGTTTACTGGAAAAAAAGTGAGCCTTTTCATTGACGTTTTCCACAAAAGGCCTTGACACCTATCCTCACAGATCTGTTCCCAAGGTACAGTATAGGATTGATGGCTCCATTACTGTACGCTAACCACGAAATCATTAAAACCACCCACTGTGGAATAGTTCTCTCAAACTGCAGGTACAATGTCACAAATATCCAGGACGGAAACCAGCAGACCGTGAAGCAAAAGACGAGACACCCGACCGTGCGATATGCTTTGGTCGCCATGTTGGAGCGTGACGTCATAGCTGGATTGGAGGACCCGGGGGTCTCAGATGTGGACAGCGCCACCTGGTTTGTATCTAACGTGGTGACATCTTCACCCTGAGCCGTCACGGTGGAGGTGCCAAATTTGCCAGTCAAGTTCAGATCGGTGCACACATGTCTTGGGGTCACGGTTGGCGTGTTGCAATTGAACGCGCGATTTGAGCCGCTGGCTTCAGTTGTATCGAATTCTGAGCAACCGTTAATGCTACGGTTGCTCCACGTTCCCAAACTGCAGTTCTCCCTTTTGTCCTCATTTATTCTGAACGCGAAGCTCTTAGCCACCGTAGTCGAGATAGTCAAATCACTGCCATTCGCGATTTTAAAATAATTACTGCAATCAAGTGGAACAACGCCATATTTTAAAGCAATAACATTAGAAGCAGCAGATTCCATGTGTTCAGCTTGGGGCGAATCAACGAGAAACGTGTGCTTAGCTGATATGATACTAGCGAAAGTGTCGGCTTTTGGATTCTCTGTCCTATTTGGCTTTTCAAAAATGTCTTTTTGTCGTCCAGCACTTGGTTTATTTGAATAATTAGGCTTCCGCTTGTGGAAACGTGAAACTTCTCGAAGTATAAAGAAATAAAAGACGTACGAAGTCGAAAAGGGTAAATAGATGGCCAGAGTTACAATTATAATGAATATGGGCAGCTTGTATATACTTTCACAAACTTCCCCTGTACACCCTACGCTTTCTTTCGCCCCTAAGTTGTTCCAGCCGATGAGACGAGGCAACACAACCAAAAAAGTTGGTACAAGCCAGGAGACCATGACCATGACGTATCCAGTTTTATTTGTTAACAGTCTATAGGACAGTGGCTTACACACTGCCATGTACCTGTCCAGCGCCATGAAGTTGACGTGAAATATAGAGACGGAACAGAGGAAATCGTTCACCGTTTGTCTGGCAGCACACAAGGTCTCTCCTAAATTCCATTTTCCATTCTCGATGACCTCAACAATACTTAACGGCATCACAGATACGCTGAAGGTGATATCAGATATCGCCATCGACATCATTAGCATCATGGCTATATTGTTATCATTGGCTTTGTGACGTCTGAGATTCCTTGTTTTGTTCGTACAAAGCATGATGACGATGAAAATAAGATTCGACGATAACGTGAATAAAGCAACAGCAGAGAGAATAATGGCAGCAGCGATGACGGCCTTGGGTTGAGGGAAGATGTCTTCAATGAACGGCAGTAAGGAAATATCCAGGAGGCTGCACTTGGAGTAGTTCATTTTGATGATGATGTCATCTTTATTTATAACTTGATATTTTCTTTAAAGGTTGGCCACTTCTATTGCTCGTCACTTTGACTTATAGTCCCAATTTGTCTTTTTGATTGCACAACTGGAGAATTCGGTGTATTAAAACGGACGATGAAATATATGAAAATAGTTTCCCCTATTGTGACTACCTCACCAAATAGATTATTACATACTTTAAATGCCTCATAAGTTGCTTAGCTTTTAACTAGTTATTAACGTAACACTGATCTGATATTTCATCTTCATTAATTAACTTTTTTAAAAATTACTTATTCATAAGATGATTAACTAACCCAGAAAACTATAACTTAAGAAAAAAAAGTTAACTACTAATGTATATGAAATATTGTGTATTATTTTATTACAGTAACTAATTGACGTGCCTTGACTTCAATAACCCATCTTTGACATCGAAATCAAAATTGTACGGAACAAAAAATGTATAATTCCAGAAGTAAATAATGTTAAAATAATGTATATCTATTTATATATTTTCATAAATTCTAATTGATGGCTCAAAAACAAGTGAACATAATATCTTTCTTTCTGCAAGATTTGTTAAAAATCTTTTTTTTTTATACCGCTTCAGACTGAATAGAAACACTCCATACAGTATTCCAGCACACATTGAACATTGGGGAAAGTATCGAACTGTGGTACCGGTTTTCTTTTTGCCCCAATCGAGTCCTCTACAAACACAACTCTTGTTTGCCCATGAAAGCTCTCCGCGATGTTTTATTTAATCAGGCAATGGTTTAGAGTGACATTTAGGCAATGTTGCAAATGGCGATACATTTTTACGTTCATTATCGGTGGCTGGATGGCGCAAAACAATCTCTCAAGAGCAAACTAGGGTTTCATGGGTGTAAGAATTGATCGACTATCTGGGATGTTTTGTTCGCTGATTCTGGTTCCAAATCCGTTGATGTCAGATTTGTCTTTAAAAAAAATTAATACACTTTCTATTTGACATACATTTTCACTATTAATATCAGAACCAAATGCGAGGCTTCGTTACTTGTGAGAACCCTCGGTTTGAAGCTGTGCTACAAACTAAAAAAATTTTTTTATCCTTTATATTAACTTCGCTTTTGTTAGTTTGTTATTTTCTGGGTGTGTGGCAAAGTCTTCGGAAGGCTAATTCACCCACTTCCCGTGAACCTTCCGAGCTGAAACTTGACACGTAAACTCGTTGCCGACGAATGCACATTCTGTGAATTTTTTTTTTTGCTCCACCCCCCTAACCCTAATCCCCTGTTTTTCAAGGAAACGATGAATATAATACGTTGCCATCGATCTCAAGAAATAAAATTCCCGATAACTGCTCTAAATGAGATTCGTAAAAATATCGCAGGTGCTTATGGTCCGTAATATTTTATTTATGTTTTTCTGACGTAGGTGGTGAAATGAATCTACGGGCCATTAGAATATTAATTTTAAATAAAATAATAAAACGGCATGCAAAGAATGTATACGAAAACGTGCGCTTTTGGAGTTCTTTCACTTAAATTCTTCATTATAACTTCGCTTTTGCTTGTGTGTTTCTTTCTTTGTGGCAGCAACATTTTCGGAAAGCTATTTGACCCACTTTCTGTCAACCTATCGAGCTGATTCCTGGCACAAATAATAGTTGCCATTGAGAACAGCTTCTGTAAAATTTTCAGCCCCATCCCCACCCTAAAAAACAAAGTTTTAACTCTACCGGGTTAGATGCCACTGATGCCACGAAATACGTTTCCTGATAACTGCGCTAAATCAGAGTCTTAAAAATAGCGTCAGTGCCTTTGGTGCGTTATATTTTCTTTTGTTTTCCAGAAAATAAAAATGTGGTGTAAAAGTGGGTGGGACATTGCAATAATAATATATTTCAGGGTAGCTGAAAAAAAAAATCCGCGGCTGTGAGCATGGGGGGAAGGGGGGGGGTGTCAAAAATTGGGATACTTATAAAGTGCGTTACCTGCATGCATGTTTTGTGAAATGTTCAGACCCACCGCCCCGTCACTCGACATTACATTTTATAAAGGATTTAAACGAAAAACTTTTATTTTATTTCTTTTTAATTTTTTTTTCCTTACTTTATTGCCATACTATTTGTTTATCAACGTAGGTAGGGTTGGCTGGTAAAAAAAAAGTTACTTTAAATTAACGCATTTAGCCACACACAAAAGAAGAACGGTGGAAAGAATTTAATGTAAGAAATTTTTGAAACTGCAACTCCTTTTTAAAGGTTGTCTCTCTTGCAACACTTTTTTTAAAGGTTGTCTCTCTTGCAACACTTTTTTAAAGGTTGTCTCTCTTGCAGCACTTTTTTAAAGGTTGTCTCTCTTGCAACACTTTTTTAAAAAAATGGAGTTTGTTTTGTTTTGTTTTTTGTTTTAATATTGTGGTGTGCATCGGTAAGTATTCAGGCACTTTCATATTTAATACTGTGGTGTGCATCGGTAAGTATTCAGGCACTTTCATATTTAATACTGTGGTGTGCATCGGTAAGTATTCAGGCACTTTCATATTTAATACTGTGGTGTGCATCGGTAAGTATTCAGGCACTTTCATATTTAATACTGTGGTGTGCATCGGTAAGTATTCAGGCACTTTCATATTTAATACTGTGGTGTGCATCGGTAAGTATTCAGGCACTTTCATATTTAATACTGTGGTGTGTATCGGTAAGTATTCAGGCACTTTCATATTTAATACTGTGGTGTGCATCGGTAAGTATTCAGGCACTTTCATATTTAATACTGTAGTGTGCATCGGTAAGTCCTAACCTTGAGGGAACCTATTCTGTATAGATAAAAATAAATTTTGAACAGGCTACACAGGATACAAAAAAAAATATCGTGTGAGGCCATTTCTAGAGTTTAGACAAATTGTTCTCACATAAAAAAAAATCACTGCGAAAGAGTTATGTAATAATGCAGCACGTTCTGCTTAAAAAGAGACCGTTAGAGATTTAATTGTCCACTGAGTGGATGAAGATCTGCTGTCCGAGGATGACCTGGCCCTCAGCCAGTGACCAACACGTCCTTACTTTCTTTTCAATTGTATATTCACATAATATATCTTGTTAATTTTGTTTAAATTCGTTGTTTACCAAAGTATCACTAGCACAATTAAATTAACCAAATTTTCAATCACACAATTGCCGCTTTCCGAAAATGTCCCCCAAAACCAAACGTGTGCATATCTTTTACATGCTGTGAATAACAATGTCATATTTTAACGCAAATCTGTGGTGGTGAAGCCGCTGGGTTTCAACGTGGTCAGCCAATTAAATTTGTATTTCCTACCTAAAACAATTTATCGCGTGTTAATTGTTCACCGTGGCTCTCAGTCTACAACATTCCATTAGTCTTCTAGTTGTATCGCGTGTTAATTGTTCACCGTGGCTCTCACTCAGTCTACAACATTCCATTAGTCTTCTGGTTGTATCGCGTGTTAATTGTTCACCGTAGCTCTCAGTCTACGACATTCCATTAGTCTTCTAGTTGTATCGCGTGTTAATTGTTCACCGTGGCTCTCAGTCTACAACATTCCATTAGTCTTCTAGTTGTATCGCGTGTTAATTGTTCACCGTGGCTCTCAGTCTACAACATTCCATTAGTCTTCTAGTTGTATCGCGTGTTAATTGTTCACCGTGGCTCTCAGTCTGCAACATTCCATTAGTCTTCTAGTTGTATCGCGTGTTAATTGTTCACCGTGGCTCTCAGTCTACAACATTCCATTAGTCTTCTAGTTGTATCGCGTGTTAATTGCTCACCGTGGCTCTCAGTCTACAACATTCCATTAGTCTTCTAGTTGTATCGCGTGTTAATTGTTCACCGTGGCTCTCAGTCTACAACATTCCATTAGTCTTCTAGTTGTATCGCCCAAACAAAACGAAACTGGCTTCAAGAACTTTTTGAAGCAATATGTATTTAAAACACTAAAAAAAATATCTAGGGGGTACTCCTCTTTTCTTTATCAGCTCGATCAGGTCGAGTTCTTTCTAGCATGAAGTCCTTTAAAAGCATATTGCCCACTCCGATCAACGTTGATCTAGTTAACTACGACACAGCAACCCTCGCAAGGCTTTTCTAGCCGAGTTATTGAGACAGAAAAGAGCGGGGTTGATGGCCGAGCTTAGATAACCCAACCACAGGACAAACGCAATTCTAACTTTTGATTTGTCCACACTTTCCTTTGGATCCGCCATGTAGATCAAACTTGGAAGCCAGCAGAGAACGAAACAAACATGGATACAGCCGAGAGTGAATATTGGCTTTAAGTTCACCGGTCGAGCAGACGTGTTTTTGGATGTAATGACACGTGCAGATTGTCTTGATGTGTTGGCAAATTCAGATTGTCTTGATGTGTTGACACTTTCTGACTGTCTTGATATGTTGACATTTTCAGATTTTATTGATGTTTTGAAATTTTCAGATTGTCTTGGTGTATTGACACTTTCTGACTGTCTTGATGTGTTAAATTTTCAGATTGCCTCGATGTTTTGACACTTTTAGATTGCCTTGATGTGTTAACATTTTCATATTGCCTTGATGTGTTGAGACTATTAGAGTGTCTTGAGGTGTTCACAATTAAAGATCGTCTTGATATGTGGAAGGAGGTTGATATAGTGCACGCACGCAGTGTAATGATATCGTCTAATATTACAGCTAATGAAATCGAATCCCTGCTGCTTGTTTTATGAGTTGCTTCAAGTGTATCGGTGGAGCATCCCTCGCGCAATGACGTACTATTTCTCACATTCCGGAATCCACTTCCCGATGTGAATCTCAAACGTCTTTTTCTGACTTTCCTAACTTCTGAAATTGTGAGGCCGAGAAATAGGATTATTATTACGAAAAGTGCATAAAACAGGATCATATAATTGAAATAAGCTCACCGTCTACTGG